CCTTTTCCCGGCACTCCAATTTCAGGCTTATCCAGACTGACTTCCTTCCATCTTCTGTGTCATCTTCAAGCTTTGCATGCTCACCTCAAAGGTGTCGCCCCTGCCTTCAGTTCTTCCTTCTCCTCACCACGCACTCACCCACCCATCGCTACACACAGAGCCTTCTGTCTTTTCTTCAGTGCAACTGTCCCTGCCTGAAAGATCCTCTCCTGCACGCCAGTCTACTTCTCCTTTTCAAAACTTCCACTTAAGTTTTCCCAGCAAATATTTAAAACTAGAACATCCTAACACATTTAATTTTAAAAAAAAGAGAGAGAAAAAAAAAGGCAATTAGCCTGACTTTCACATTTTGGTTAACTGAGTATTATATCTCAGACCCATATTTTTGGGGTGGTTGGGGGCTTGTTTGTTTTTAAAGAATTTTATGATACTCTATATTTGTGTTCTACAACAAAATAATAATTTCCAAAGTTCTGATGGTAGAAATTTTGTACAAGCCACCTGAATCACACTCTGTACAGGCAGAGGCTGTAACTGTTCTTTGTGAAGATCGTGCACACGCTTGTACAGGTGCAATGCGGATTTATTTCAGGACATTCACCTTACTGCTCATTTTCCCAGATCTGAACATTGTGCAGACTGGTTTTACCCCTTAAGGGTATCCAGGGATGTGGTTTGTATGACCAGGCAGATGCAACAGCTAGGTAGAGGGAGACCTTGAACAAGCAGACATGAAAATACCCACGGGTGACTGAAGGCGCGCGTGTGACTTCCGCTCACTTCAAAGGCGAAGGAACACAGCTCTGGAAGACGTTTTTGTGCCAGCGCGTTCGAGCAGGTATTTATGGATGTGCTGAGCAGGCAGCCCAGCCCAGCAAAGCACGCCAGCTGATACAGGGTATGCAAAACCTTTTTCAGAATGGCTACACAACTCCTCCAAATCTCACCCATAAGCTGAAGAAAGTTCCTGTACTCCTTATTTCTGACGCGGACGCCCCACACAGAAGCCGCAGAGTTTAGATTTTATTGTGAAACTTGAACACTGAGCTTGCTTCACCTGGAGTTCCCACCCCTTTCTGGAGCGAGGAGCGTGCCTTCAGAGAAGGGGTGTGATTACGCCCTTCGTACACAACGCTGCTGATCGCAGTTCTCTTGCCAGTCGTAGATCAGCAACAGCCCCAGGCCTGTTACAACCACGTCAGTGAGGCACGGAAAAGCGGTACAAATCCTAACTTCCTGCCAAGGTCTCCTCTTTGCACTTAAATTCAGTATTAATAGGCCAATTGAATTCTGTGGAGGAAGTTAAACACCGAGCACTTAATTTGTTGATAAAGTAACTGCAATTTTCCTTAATCAGTTTATGGGAGGGAAATATGGAAACCAGCAAGCAGCACCAAGTTGGTCAGACACAAACATCTACACTGGGAACTTCTCTGCCCCGAGACACACTCTGTGACAGAAACAGGGTGCCCTAGACACAGAGCAGTAATTTTGCACACTACCCACACGAGCACAAGGGTCTCAATCCCCCATGTTTTTCCAGGACAGACTTTCCTAAATTCAACTAATTTTTCCTTGTCTGTTACCACAGCTGAACTCGTCGAGTCTCCTGCTCAATGTGTGTTTTCAGTTGGATGATCTAACTGCAAACTAAAGGGACAGAATACCTAACTCTCTACAGAAAATGTGATTCTATAACTGAGATACATATGTTCAAATTCAAGAGATTATTAGAAAACATAAGAAACTACAAACAGCTCCTAAGAAGCTTAACTCCAGGAATACTGAGATTTTCCGAAGTGCAAGCAAATCACCTAAATGACATTTACAGATTCCAAAACCAAATTAACTTTAGTCTTTGGTGTTTTCTTCCAATGATACTCAGTCAGTTGCACATTCTCAGGAAAAAGAAAACACTCTTCACGTGACGTTTTGGAAAAGATTGTTCTTGCTTCTGCTAGCCTGCAGTTTCTCAAGTCTCTCTCTAACTACATTTTTCCTCCTCTCAGAGATGTACGACTGTAGTTAAAAAGGAGACTGGAGTCAAAACAAGCTGTAAAAGTGCCCTCTTCCCTAAAAATTCAAACTCCAGCTTTGCATCTGCTGAAAACTAAATACACAGTTCATGTAATTCCTAAAACAAAAAAAATATAAAAAAATAAATTGTTGCTCTTTTCATACAGCACTTACCTTTACGTCTGGCAAAGTGCTTACAAGAACTGCAGCAAGAACTACATATAAGACTTCGTTCTGACAACAGAAAACCCATACCGACATACCCATTATAGCTTCTGTTGATGATCCCGACGGCAGTGAGACAGAGGCGGTTGGTATTCCAAATGACTATTTCTAGCAGACTGTTTAAAAATAACCTAAACTCTGTCATACCCTTAACGCCCTGCAAATACTGGACAGAGACAGGAGTCACATGTTGCCCGCGCTCCTGCAGCTTAGGGTTGCAAAGAGAAACCGAGAAATGGCCTTTCTGTAATTCTGCAGGTTTAACGTTTCCTTTGTGAAAGCTCAGCTTAAAAAAAGTCAACCAGCATTCTTTTGAGTGGCTTCCACTGTGGAATCAGCGACAAGTCAGGTATTACAGAACTATTAATGTCAACTTTCGTCCAATACAAATCTAAAAAGTACAAGCTTCTGCTAGAAAACAAAGGCTGTTCAATGTGTTGTAAGCGGAGCTACCCATGAATTCCGGGAATATTCAACTATCAGCCTCTGACACAGCTGTCAGCTTATCATGAGCGATAAGCACGTGGGAGAACATACCTGCCATTCCTTACACTCTGCCATTCCTTTCAGGTCTTCAGTGTAAACTCTCTAGGATCTCCGATCTCTCAGACATCCTCTCTTACTTTTATTTGAAAACTCATTACATCCACCTAAATGACAGTGTTATTCCAAATTTAAAAATTCTTTATGAAAGCGCAGTGAACGAGGCAAATATAAACCATTCAAAAAAACGTCTTATACTTTGACATATAACAAAACTCTACTTCTGTTTATGGCAAATTATTTTATTTTGTAGAAGAAATACTTTCAAATAATACAAAAATGACACAATCATACAGAACTGTGACAAAAACAAGAGAGATGAATACTGAATATGGTAACTCATTACCACATCAAGACAGAACTCATTACAGCAGTCAGAATCACAGACCCACAAGATAAACCGACGACGTCTCACAGTGGTCACTATTTAAAAATACCAACTGAACCTCCTGACAGAGAGGCCACCAGACATTGCCCCTTTTGTTGCACAGTCACAGAACAATTCAGGGTGGAAGGGAGGTCCCTAGCCCAACCCCTGCTCAAAGCACACCTAATGCGACCAGGACGCTCTGGGCTACACCCAGCCAAGCCCTCAACCCCTCCATGGACAGAGAGCTCCACCTCTCTGGGCAACCTCTTCCAGTATCCGACCACCCTCACGGGAACACGGTGTCTGTTCTTAGCATACAGCAGGTACTGCTGGTGTCACTGAGCAGTAACTTTGGATAAACACTAGCATGTAAGGGCCTCCACTGAAAACGAGACGCAAAATTCTGACTAACTGGTCTTTTCAAGTAAGGGGCACTGAAAAGCTTGCTGTCCCTAGACTTTTACCCAAACACTAAGATTTTTTTACATGACTTGGTTTTTATCTGCATAGTTTCTGAACACGTCTAGTTGCGCCCAAGGAACCCAATATACGCCCTCTGAAGCTTATGGACAAAACCAGACTTCAGGATGGTTAGCATGATAAATGCTAAATATACTTAAATTTCACATATATTGCCCTACAATCAAATCGCTTGATGCCTTTAATGATTACAGGCCATATTAGGACAAAGGGAATACCACCTTAAAATTAAATGTCTATGTTTATCATCTCATTGATTAATGACTTGGGTTTACAATCCTTTTTCCCATTACTTTTTGCCTCAGCTTGGACAAGTAAAAGCAAATCAGTTTCACTTTCAGGTTTTCCCGATCTTTTACAAGGTAACAGAGTATAAGCTCTTGAAACTCACAAAGAACACTCACAAAATATCTGAAAATACTCTGATTGGTTCTGACAAGTCCATTTAGGTTTTGGCTGTTGCCACTTTGATTTCCTGACGTATAAATATCTGGAACCAATTTGACCTTTACTTATAATTAAGAGACAGCATCACCTTCCTTCTAGAAGATTCCAGCAATATGCAAAGTCAGTCTTGTGTTGGGCACCTCTCTTCGTAGGTAATGTATAATTAGAAAAATATGAGAAACTCTATTATAGTAGCTTAGTAAAGAAGTATTTTTACATACTTGCAGGATGCAAGGACACAAAACTGGCATTCTCGGGAATTTAGGGTGACAGTCTTTCATTAAAATGAATGGTCACAAGTAAAATTACTTCTTACTGGATCTTAGCTGGTCCAACTAGCAATCAAGTGAGCTGAACCTTCCAGAATTACACGCCTTCCTCCTGGAAAGCGTCACTGTTCAACAGAACTTGCACGCAGTAACGTCAAAGCACATCCTTTTGGATGAACATGCGTTTAAGCACCCTCACTTACTGCAGCTGCTTTCCGAAATCAGCGCATATGTACTTTCCTGAATCAGTTCAGAATCTTTAGAACTGAAATCACTACAGTAATATACTACAGAAATTACCATAATATTCCTTTAGCGGTCTGTCCGCACAGCTAGCTCACATTCCTCGTTTAACTCCCTTTTCATTAAACAGCAAAACAAAGACCTGTCACCCTTTTCCTTCCTCCGTTTAAACTGAGAATCTAGTTAAGAATATAAAGATACTTTAGACACAACTGAAATGAAAACAATCTATTAGTGCACAGTAAGAACATGCAAATGAATTCTGCAATGCTTAACATCACTTCTAATCAGTGTTAAACACATTGCAGGTGATAATATTTTGCTATAACACAGACAGTGCTAAAGGATACAATGTACATAATAAGCTACAGATAATAAAGCTGAAAAAAGTGACAATTTTAGAACATAGTATTTTCATTTCAGGTATCAGAAACAAAACCAGCTCAATGGTTCCATTCTACTGTATGACAAATACTGAAGAACAAAATTTCAGTCTTAAAATACATCTTAAAGTAGGTATTTTCCTTCAAGGAAAAAAGGCACTATAAATAAATTACACTACAGTGAATTTGCCTGAACTCACTTTGTTTCTGTCTTCCAGCCTTTAACTCAAATAAAACAGCATAAAAACTGTACACGCTCTTAACAGGATAGTCGATCTTTTATAAAATAAGTTGTCTTCAGAGATGTCAGTTTCACAACAAGGAAAAACCAAGCCTTGTTGCAGTCGCTATTATAAAATATATATGTATATATATTTATATATATGTTTTTGTTTACTTTTACTTTTTTTACTTTTTTTATTTTTTACAAAACGTGTATATTAGCTTTTGCACAATTTTTTTTTTTTAAAGAAACTTGGCTAATCTAATAACTTCATTAAAATAAAAGCGATAAATACTTCATGTTTACAATGCAACATGTCATACGTCATCAGCTGGCAGAGGAGGTATGTTAATCCTTGGTCTTGTAAAAAAAGCTATCTTCTCTCTGCGATCAAAACAAGATAAGAAGGAGATCAATCAAATATATGCCTACATTCCCCCGCCCTCCCAAGAACATGGTTTCTTTACTCTGCTTAGTGGTTAGTACCTGTTACTCACATCAGAACTGATGGTTTATTTTGAGTGCATGAAACTTACAAAAACTATTAAACTTCACTGCATACTTTTGGCAACGTTCCATTGAAAACACTGACTAGTTTTGAAAATTTAGGTGGAAGCTTTCTTTATACAACTCACTGAACATCAGTCATAGTTGACTGTAAAAAGCTTTTTCACAGGACAAGCCCTGCATAAGCCCCTTCTGCAATGCAAAGTTCACCCTTGTACGTTTTGCAATAACGCCTACAAAAAAAAAAAAAAGGGAAAAGAAACCCAAACACGGCATTCAGAGTTATGTTTTTGCTTCTTGATTGAGGGAACAACACATGCTCTACAGTAAGTGTCATAAGAAATGGATGTTGGCATAAAAAGGAAAAGAATTTAAATAAGTAAGACAGATAAGTAAGACAGCTTTTGCTTCATCTTCTAAATCTCATTTTACTCAACTCCCTCTCTCTTTTTCTATCTCATATATGCTCATATATCAAAGCATAAAAACGCCTCTCATTACCAGAAATATAAGATGTAAAAACGACCCTAAAATTTCTATTCCTCTTGCTTCCTCCCCGCCTTTGTGAGAAAGACCTTCTGAATATAATTCAAGCAAAAAAAACTACATTAAAGCCAGAGAGCTTTTCCACTTCACTCAAGTATTCCCTGCAAAAAAGTTCTAAAAAGCTAAACAGTGGATGAAATTGTATAACGCAACATTGTAGCTGAGCTGTCCTTCACATCTATGCTGCGCTAATATTTTCTTACTCTTACTGTTACTCTCCCAATAAAAATTATAAAAATTTTAATGAAGTAAAGAAGTCTTCCTGTGAAATGCACATTGTTTATCAATGTCACTTGCACACAAAATAAACTGTCAGGAAAAAAAAAGCTAAGGGAGAACACTTGCCATGTGAACACAGATGAAATAGAAAAATAAGTCCAAAGAAAAGGCTTCCTGAGAGAAAGCTGGAATATTATTGAGTAATTTTTAGGGAGAGAGTGTAACTAGTAATGTGTATGCATTACATTAAACAAACTATTTATGCCCACAAGCTTGCACTGAAGAACTGACAAATCATTTGAACTTCATAGTGGCTTGGCTAAGTTGAAAGAATCACCTAAGCTACATTTGCCCTTGAAGACTTTTTTGTTGTTTTGTTTGTTTGTTTGTTTGTTTGTTTTTAATTTCACACGTTTTGGAATCTGTTTGTTTGTTTGTTTGTTTGTTTTAATTTCACACGTTTTGGAATTGTAACACTGCAATTTTACCTTCGCTTTGGCTCTTTGCACTACAAATAATTCAAAAGAAACTCACATGTCCAAATCAGTATACAGTTAAAAATTACTGGGTATGTAGAAAACACACAGAATTTAAGGCAAATGCTTCAGGGAGCTTTAACCTCTCTAATGAACTGTTGCTGTGCTATTTCCGTACACATTACCACTTACCTAAAAGTCTGCACCTGAATAGGCTCCTTCTGACTTTGCCCACGCAACTGGTATATTTCTTTTGATGCTTTCTTTAGCATCTTTTCAGCTGCTTGCTCTTGGTGATGTTCAAATTTGGTCTGTCTGGTCTGAAAACAAGAATGTAATGCTTAAAACGGTCATGTGACTAAACAAAACACAAGAATACCCAGGTTAAAATAATGGATTTTTTTCCCTACTTAACACAGTAAAACCACACAAGTACATTGTCTGAAACAGCTCACCATCTAAGCAATACAAATTCAAAAGACTGACTGTGCTGTTTCATTTAATGCTTTTCAGAGAGATAGGTATTAAATTAATGAAATTTACTGCACAAAGTTCTGTCAAACGAGACCTTAAAATAAATTTAGGCTCACTCTTCGTCTCTGATAATCCAATGACAATTTTGGTTTTGTGCAGTTCTTGCTACTTTTTGCCTATAACTTCTTTCTCCAAAAACAGGAAAAAAATCACAGACAGGGACCATTCCAAATACTTGTAAAAAATGAAATATCAAATCAGCAAAATTTCTTTCAAAGATCAGAAGTAAAGAAATTATTAAAGTTCCAATAATAAATATCTATAGGAAAAAACTCCAAACCAAACCAAAAAGTGCCATTGGCAAATAGTGCCATTCTCCAGTAATTGTCTTCAAATAAACAGAGTTTGGTATTAATCAATACAATAATTTTTATTGTGCTAACTTCAAGAACATAAAAGCAACAATCACTGTTCGCAGTTCTGCAAAAACAGCTCTTTAGACATCTTGAAACCAGAAGTTTCTGGACATGTTGAGCGCTCATCTCATGTCACCATACCTGCCTTTCTGCTTCCTTCAACAAGTTTCGGAATCGCTCATCCCGAAGGACCCAGTGGGGTAGATCTGTCTGCCCTCTGAGCTGGGCATCTTCCAGACGCTGTCTCAGCTCTCTTAACACACATATCTCCTCGTTCAGCTGTCTCTGTCTAGTTCTGGATGCCTGGAGATCCAGCTCCAGGTCTAAGGACGTCCTTGCCATAAGCTCAGCCAAAGATGATCTGCAGGACTGCTGAGTCAAATTCAGGATTCAAATAAAAAGCACAATATATTACTCTCAACAGGATATACTGGTCTACCTTCAGCTACATAGAGCATACATATTCTGTACTTACTTCACACACAAAGACTTTGTTGACACAAAGTTTTGGAGAGATTACTTACATCCCACAGCAAGTAGCTAGCTGTAGGGGTCTTCTGTACTATACATAAACTTTTCCAATTAATGCTTTCTACTACCTCCTTTTACAGTCTCCTTTTGGCTTATAAATATTTAACTAGTTTAAGTTCATGGACTAAACTTTCATGTTATGATGATAATAAAAGCGATGCAATAGAAAAAACTCGTAATGGAGTCATGATGTTGGAAAATACTGTACTGTGCAAAATTCCCCTTAAAGGGCTTTATTTGATACTGGTTTTAAGGTACATTCTGAATCAAAATGGGAGGTGGGTTGGGTTTGTGCCTGGCGGTAGGCTGGGTTGGGTTTTCTAGCAGGGGAGGGGCTACAGAGGTGTCTTGTTAGAAGCTTCCAGAAGCTCCCCTAGCTCCAAGTTGGGCCTACCTCTGGCCAAGGCCAAGCCAACCAGTGCCTCTGCAATAACATATTTAAGAGAGGGAAAACCTATGGCCAACTTCTTTGTTCGTGAGCGGAGGAGAGAAGAGGGGTGTGAGATAGATACCCCTGCGGACACCCGGGTCAGCGAGGAAGGCGAGGGGGAGCTGTGCCGGAGCA